AAAAAGACAACCTCATTAGTTCTTGGTTTCTACAGCAAAATATTTTTTTATTGTTTCTTTGCTTCAGCCTGGTGCAAGCGGTAGAGTCTTACCGTCTGTGACCGGAAGGTCCCCAGGTTCGAGTCGCGGTCTTCTCGCATTGCACAGGCGAGGGTAAGGCTTGCCACTGACACCCTTCCCCAGACCCCGCACAGAGCGGGAGCTCTCTGCATTGGGTACGCCCCCTTTTTTCTTTGCTTCAGCCTCAAAAGGTACTGCTCTCTTTTCCTTTGGGATTCATGTCTAAGAAGCTAATAAATTTGGTTATATATAATTTTCCATGTTCTAGCTATGGCATCATATGTTTGAACTGCACTTGTTTGCATGGATCTAGTATTTACCGTGCCTTCATATTTATTGGAGCATAAAATAGCTCAGATTGGATGCCTAAGGCTCCCTGTCTCACTTTGCTTTAGTCTATACCAATGCAGAAACTAGAATTACCCACAATGACATTCAATTAGCATTCACTTTCCCCTCAATTCAGTTGAGTTCTCACTGTCCTTTCCATATTACTTCTCCAGGTGACTAATCTAGTCGGACAGCTTCTTGGAAATCAGCCTAAAATGTGAACTGAGATGAAATTTTGTTTGTGGTGTATTTCTTCAATTTTAGTTCTAGGGTTTGATGGATTACTAGGCCAACTAGTGATACGTGATAAGTTCGAGAGAGAAATTACATCTCAAATTATTAGCATTGTATTGTTCGGACATGATGGAGAAACCTAGTTGTGAGGCTTTTGATACAAAATTCTACATCCACATTTTGTTTGAGCTCCCGAATTCTACTTTTATCAGCACATATGTGCAACCTCACTGAAAATATAAGCTACTCCCTCCACTCACAAATAGGAGACCTTATATGATTGTTGTTTTTAAGTCAAACATTACAAGGTGGTGTGGGCTTTGCCCCCGGGGGGCGGAGGCCCTATCGTCATGTTCATGGGCTAGGATAGCTTGTCGTTCTCCTGGGCTGAGATTAGCAGAATGTCCTGTTCGTTATGAAGCCGTCTCGTTTATTACAAACTACAATGGGATACACCAACAGGTGTCAAACAACACCGCACTTCCAGAGCGTTAGATGTCAGTGTGCATATGAGTCCGGGCGTGTGAATCCTTTTGGCACCATATAACATCCAAAAAAAGACAAATGTGTTACTTCTAGCACATTGTGACGCAAACACTTGACTGGAAGCAAAACAAAGCAGGATTGCAGAGAGTTTTGGTGCGACTGGAAGTCCGAACAAGGAACGTCTGTCTCTTAGGCTTAATCCCCAGCGGCAAAAGCTCGCCTTTCTGTTTACTTTGCACGGTAACGACAGCACACACGGCACAAGCAACCTCCTCTTCACATGCCTCGTTAGGCTAGCTGCATGCCAATGCAGCTCCTCTCTCGCCAACCTTTGCCAGGAAAGCCTGCCAGTGTCATCAGCCGACAGTCGGACACCAATCTTTCTCAGGCAGCACACAGCACACCACACCAGCAGCACCGATGGCGGGCGACGGACGTGCTCCCACCGGCCGCCGCGTCGTGATGTTCCCGTTCCCGTTCGGGAGCCACATCACGCAGATGCTCCAGCTCGGGGAGCTCCTCCGCGCGCGGGGGCTGGGCGTCACCGTGCTCCACACCGACTTCAACGCGCCGGACCCGACGTGCCACCCGGAGATCACCTTCGTGTCCATCCGCGAGTCCCTCCCCGCCGACGTTGTCGCCAGCCCCGACATGGTGGAGCAGATGATCGGGCTCAACGCCGCCTGCGAGGCGCCGTTCCAAGCGGCCCTCGCCGAGGAGCTGCTGGCGCGCGGTACTACTACCGGTGGCCAGCAGGGGCCGCGCGAGGTCGCCTGCGTGGTGGTCGACGGGCAGTGGTACAAGATGCTGGGCGCGGCCACGCGTGTCGCCGTCCCCGCGCTCGCGCTGCGCGCCGACGGCGCTGCCACGTTCCTCAGCATGCTCGACACCCCGCGCCTCGTCGCCGACGGCTACCTCCCCATCAAAGGCACGTTCTTCGATCTCCGTGGAAGACACTCTGTAATCTTTGTGCCACCGACTGGTAATAGTGTTTACTTTCTTGCATGCATGCAGAAGAGCGGCTGGACGAGGTGGTGCCGGGCCTGGAGCCGCTCCGCGTGCGCGACCTGATCCGCATGGACGGCAGCGACGACGAGACGGTGCTCCGTTTCATCACCTCCAACGCCGAGGCCGTGCGGGCGTCGTCGGCGGCCGTGGTGCTGAACACATTCGAGGGCATCGAGGGCTGCGAGCTGGCCAAGATCCAGCGCGAGCTGTCCGGCCGCCCGGCCTTCGCGGTGGGGCCGCTGCACCTGCAGGCGTCCCCGGCGGCAGCCGTGGGGGCCGAGCGAGGGCAGTTCCAGCACGCGCCGGACTGCAGCTGCCTGGCGTGGCTGGACGCGCGGCCGCCGCGCTCCGTGCTGTACGTCAGCATGGGCAGCATGGCGCGCGTGGACCGCGCCGTGTTCGAGGAGACGGCGTGGGCGCTGGCGGCCAGCGGCGTGCCGTTCCTGTGGGTCCTCCGCCGTGGCTCCGTCGTCCGTGGAGGCGCCGGCGGCGCCGGCGCGGACGCGGACGCGGAGGACGAGGTGCCTCGGGTCCCGGAGGAGCTCCGCGAGACGGTGAGGCACAGGGGCAAGATCGTGGCGTGGGCTCCGCAGAGGGAGGTCCTGGCGCACCCGGCGGTGGGTGGGTTCTGGACGCACTGCGGCTGGAACTCCATGGTGGAGGCCATCTCCGAGGGGGTGCCCATGCTCGTGCAGCCGTGCTTCGCGGAGCAGATCGTGAACGCGAGGTACGTGACGCACCAGTGGGGCGTCGGGTTCGAGGTCGGGAAGCCGCTCGAGAGGACAGCCATGGCGAGGATGATCAGAAGGCTGATGGCTGGGGAACTGAGCCCGCATCAGGGGCCGAGGGAGAGGGCTCGGCTTCTGATGACGCAGGCGAAGCAGTGTGTTGCTGAGGGAGGAGCAGCTAGTTTGGCTCTCGATGGTCTGGTGGAGTACATTTCCTCGCTTTGATCGATCAGCTTTCAGGTTTGAGCATGAGGAGGACGCTCTGAATAATGAACTGCATGTCATGTCCTGATTTATCTATGTATAATAAGGATCTGCCTTTGAGTGATATACCGCTACATGGACAACGACATCCCGCGATGGATGGCGCGATTGGAAACCACGCGACCCTTCTTCCTTCTTGCCTGCACCACCCTTGTCCCGCTTTTGCTCGCACATGCTGCCTCACGCACCCCTCTTCCGCCACCTCCTCCATCGCTCTTCCATCACCCGCAGCTGATGGCTCCCGCCGCCTCACCCACCTTCCACCGCCGCCTGCCTCGACCTTGTCCTCCCCCAATCACACGGTTGCCGACAACCACATCAGCACAACGTCCTCACCGCCAGCCCCGCCCAACTGCCATCTCCCACCACCCCCAGCATACGGCGCCCCTGCCTTCTCGCCCCACCCATCTCCCACCGTCCACAAACCCTCTTCTGCACCCACAGATGAGCGAACCCCTCTTGGAACCCTAACCACCAGCCTTAGGCAACTCTTCTTCTTCTTCCTCTCCGATAGGGTGCGGATGGGTCGCGCGAGTGCACGAATGTGCGACCCATTGCGTGTTTAAGTTTGCCAAAGGGAAGCTTTGTGGAGATGTTCGCTTGCTGTACACGAATGATGCTGGGGGTTTCGCTAATCCCTGTGCTTCCGAACTACACGCCTCGTGAGGCATCCTGAAAGGCTTCACATGTCGTTCAGGAATCAGGACTCACCATTAACATGTCCAAAACTAAAATTGTTCCCATAAGATGCGAGAACATCTCTATGGACATCAATGGACAGCATTTTGATTGACTTCCATGGCAAATACTCCATCTGTCTCTGAATAAATAGATTTCTGAAGTTGTCTTAAGTCAAAAAATTTAAACTTTAACCGAATTTGTAGAAAAAACATCAAGATTTATGATATTAAACTAATATCATTAGATGTACCATGGAATATATTTTCATAATATGCTTATTTTATATCATAGATGTTGTTACTCTTTTCTATAAAGTTAGCCAACTTAAAAAGTTCGATCGACACGAATTCTAGGAATTGATTTATTTGGGGATCGAGGGAGTATTTGGGATGACCCATGCTGATCATGAATACGAGACTCCTGTGAAACGTACACCTGCAACCTCTAACAGAAGATTGGCCGCAGATTGCCGAGCTAGAAAATAAGACAGAGAGAACCTCTAAAATCGGATGCTCTTCAGCTCTTGGACAGCAGGTTGCGTGAGGTGATGAGCATGTCAGTAATGAACTTACTGTATTTTGGGATTGGGATACCAGGCCTTGGATTCGACCAGGAGCTCGCTAACGAAGTAGAGCGCTCGTGTCGTGGCACCTTCTGCTTCTGGCCTATCTTGGGCTCTTGGCCCACTTCACCTCGAATCCAAGGCCCGTCAAGCTAATTACATACATTTACGCTCTGTAGGCTCGTCAAGTAACACATTTCGCAATTGCATAGCCCTAGTCCAATTGGTAAAATTCGATCTAGCGCAACACACCAACAATCACACTGATTCAACACAGATTATGCCAAATAAAAAAAAAGGATAACTGCTGAGTTCAGCATCAAGCAGTTTGCCATGGTTGAAACATATTTTCTCAATTAAAAATGTTGTCACCAACCAAAATGGAGCAACGAACATTCGACCAAGCAGCCAACTCCACTACAATTCTCGGTCATCAAAGCCATTTTGGCACACCAGCATCTCAAAACAAAACAAGAGTAACAACTGTATTGCACATACAATGATACAATAAAGCACCCAGTGCCAAATCACTGATCCAGCACACACAAAGCACTGTTAGCATACTTAGGCAAACTGCATGCTTCTGCCTCGATGGGCTGTCCTAGCTTTGTAAATAACAGAGGAATCAGAACCTTCATATGAACTCCTCATGTTTGCGGTGAGGACTTTATGTCGTCATTCAACGCTCTTTTCCCCACGCCTTTGCGTTCGGAGTTGGTGGCAGCTCTGTTATCCTCATCGGCCTCCTCAACAGTAAGGGATCCAGTGCTCATCAGTTCCTTAACCTTGTGGTACTCATCGTAGTGGGCACGGCGATGCTCCTTGAAACTCAGTCTTGTTGTGTCAGCTTCTGGGTCTACATGGAACCAAACATATCACAGTATGTCCAATTGTATTACAAAAAGACACTGCTGAAACATCTGGGAACAGTGCAATGCTAATTGTGTACTACGACAGCAGTGAACAAGTAATAGTAGATCACACTTTATAATGATATAATGACATGGTATTTAACATTTGTTCGTGCCATATAAGTACCTTGGGTTCTAAGATGAAATCTGTCTTGCTTAAGGAACAGCAAGAACAATGAGGTTTGCCTTGTCCAATGCTAGGAAATTGAGAATGTGTCTAATTAATCGGATCAGTTATGAACTTAAGGAAGCTAGAGCAGAATGGAGTTGCATTGTTTCACTAGTGGAAATATAAATGAAAGTGTGAACTACTCTGCCAACCAAACATCAAACTGCCCATCTTTAGCTAGGACATACATAATAATCAAGACTGATTTTTTAAACTTTTCTTGTTCACAGACGAAGAAATAATTATGTTATCTTAATTTGACCCGTTTAACTGTCTTACCAAAACGAATAAGAGAACAAATATGAGCACGGTCCTGTAACCAGAATAATAAAATTGTAGCAGCTGGGCAAGAAGTTTACCATCATCTTGTTCTATGGCATCTGTATCACCATCTGACGATCCCCAACCGTCATCCTTTGAATTGCTATTGCTTGAAGAAGCCACACCATTTAAGGCTGTTAAGATAGCTTCAGCCTGGACAGTCTCATCAAGACATTTGTCGAAAGGACGTGTTGGCGACAGTGACCCTAGAAGACAAGAAGTGAGCCAAATAATCATGTGCACACTAGGGAGTACTTAAAGTGGTCAGATATAGTATGATGCAGGTGGCAAGATGTCTACCATCATCATCTATCATAGGGTGATATGGTGTCTTTGGCTCTGTTATCTTCTGCCTCACCGGTTTGTTTGACTCAATTTCATACAAATTGTCCTCATTCCACTTCACACGGCGAGAGCTACAGGAAAAGGGTCCAAGCATCATCAGAAGCTAAATCAAGAAAATGGCCACAAGAATATGGACCTATCACATATGTGATACATGTAACAAGAGATATGCACATTTCTGAAGTCATTCCTTCAGAGTGCCATCACAAGAAACAGAGTCAATTGATGTTTATTTTTTTATTTTTAAGACAAGATACATATTGTCTCTACTGACCCTTCCAATTTTGAGATGCAAGGTTCCGAAACCAATCAAAATCAATGCAAGTAGTGCCAATAAAAAAAAAAAAGCAATGTCTGTATACATGATGAAAAGCAATGTTCCTTCCATCATCTCAGTTCTTAACTCTCAAATATTCATCACACAATAACCAAATGAGCACTATTTAGTATTGGAAAGGAAATAAATTAATTTCAAATAAAAACATGAGTTCACGCATTCAAGTGAATACTACCATTTGTTTTCATGAAATGCAACTGATTTCATCAATAAAGACTTTGACAACAAAGTGTATTGGAATTGGATATAACAACCAGGCTGTACCAAAGTTATAACACAAAGTCCCTCAATTTCACAATATTTGTCAACCTCGCCATCCACAAAGGCAAGGGAAGCACCAAACATAACAAAAAATATTAGCGAGTAGCTTATATACCCGTTTTAAATATTCTTTCGCAATACTTAGGATGGGGTAGAGCACAGAAACATCTCAATAAGAATACAATACAATATTATTCCGAAGTGTATAAACATTTTGAAACGATATGGTCCATGGGTCATATACATGCAAATTCTGTTAGCACTTAATTTATATCTTAATCTCCCTGTATGTCCAATGTAAACTGTAACACTGGTACAATATAGTAGTAGGAGTGAAGTAGGTAGTCCTTAGACAAAAGTGCTGCATTGCTTAATAGATTATGAGAAGAGAAAAAAAGGGTTAGCATGTCAGATTTCAGCATAGAAATGATAAATATACCATAGGCCTTTTTTATAATAAATACAGAAGGGGAGGCCCCCACTGTTAGGATTTTATTAAAAGAAAAGTAAAACTACTGTACAGAAGTGAAAAGAACACAAGAAGGGGAAACTATGCCATAGGCCTTATAAGACATTTTTTCTGATCCATTGCTTACAAATTGCTAAGTTCAAACATGAGTACTAGCTGAGAATGAATAGGTAGAGAGTTACAAATGAATGGGTCTTGTTTATATGCATCAGACTCCATAAACTGTTTGTAACAGAAATTCAGAGATGGAGAAACTAGGAGTACTGACCTCATGCTTGAAGTGCTTTAATTTCACACTAATGAAAAGTGAATGGTGCTCGCACAATCTTTACACAAAATCTGCTGATGTAAGGTAAATCATTAGTCCATTACACTAATTCTTCTTTTTTTTTTCATTAGCTCAAGTTTTCATTCAAGAATAAATGAAATTATATAATAATATCAGAAAGTAAGATATAGTTTCAAGTTGGATATAACATATGAGCTGACAATGGCGTTTGTATGAACCAAGGGAAGAATGCACAGCCATTTTCCCACATCTATTCATTTGATATTGTCAAATGTTGATGATCCATAATTGATTCATTGTAATAATAAATCAATAAGAGAACGCTCTGTGCATGACAATTACAGCTGAACCAGGAGTACGTAAAGTATACATCGAGGGAACACATTAGCAATGTTTTCAAGTCGTCCGATTAATCGCGATTACTCGTCCTAATCGGTCCCTGGTGTTCGATTAGGAGGTTCGACTCGATTAGCTTGACCAGAAAGCTGGTCGTCCGATTAGTCGACGAGAAATCGCAATTAGTCGTCCAACTAGGACAGGGACGACCAGTTTGGTTACTCTGTTTTTGGGCCTGTTTAACTGGGCAGACATGTGGGCTACTAGGCTTGCAGTTTGGCCTGTTAGGGTTAGAATGTTTAGCAAAAAGGATTGTTAGCCTTTGTTGCGCTGCATCTGGATGCGGGCGTAGTTGGAGTGAATTTTCTGCTGTAAGTGCTAGTGTACTACTGCTGAGTAATTAAGTATGGTAGTAATATTGATATGTGATTCTGCATTATATTTTGTGTAGGTCCATACAAAAAAGAGAAACCGATTAGAGCACCAAAGGTTAAATAAGTTGGTACATGTCAGTTACAACCGCAAGATGGAAAACAGATTTTAAAAAATTAGAGAGCTGGGTTCCAAAGGAAAGAGATGCAATCCACTCTTGCTTGATGAATTTCATTGGGAAAATGAATGGGTCAATGAAAATTGTGAACCAGACCCAGTTCTGGAAGGTGGTGGCGATGCTATGACTTGGGCTGTTGTGGATGAGGCTATTGGTGCAACTCAGGGTCTAGAGGGACGTAACTTGCCTAGGGCTGCTGCTACTCGTGCTGCTGTTGCTGCCCCTGTGAGGCGTACTTATGCTAGGAACAGGAAGTGTCCAACGAACACAGTGACTCAAGATATTGATGAAGTTGATGATGAAGACCAAGATCAGCATGTAGATTCAGCAATAGCAATGGAGGAGGATGAAGAATCTGCACCAACTGAAACTGGAGATGGAGATGGAGGCTTCAATTTTAATGTTGATTTGCTTAATTAGATGGCTAGTTGCCTACTTTTGTTGGACTGTTAAATGTCAATGTTTGTGACTCTGTGTTGAACACTTTAGCTTATGTGTACTGAACTTGTTTGGTTATGTAATATGCTGGCTGTGTGGCTGCTATGGTCTGCTATGTGCTAACTGCTAAATGCTAGTTATTTGCTACTGCAGCAGTGCTTGCTAATGCAGCAGTGCTGCTGTTGAGCTGTGTCAAGATCAAGACTACATTAGTGTTGCTAATTATGGTCTTCTTTGGTATTTTAGGCTTCCAGCAGCAAGTCAGCAAAGAAATGGAGTTTGGGACAGAAATATGGACTTCTAGACATGGCAGAAAAGAGAAGAAAACAACTCCCACAAGCAAGTCACCAGCTAAACACTAATGTAGTCTTGATGCTTGCTTTATTGTGTATACTATATAGTATATATAGGTATATATATAGTAGGTATATATGTCCTGATATATAGGACGACCAGGGGTCGACTAGGCTCGACTAATCAGCCTGGTCGACGACTAATCACAATTAGTCTCCTGGTCTGTCCCATGGCGACTAGGTTTGACTGGACGACTTGAAAACATTGCACATTAGGCATATGAAAGGTCACTGATGTAAGTGATGCTGCCTACGGAGGTACAAAGAAAACTCAGCTGGAAGATCTCTGAATGTACAGTTGTTGCAAAATTAGTCAGATTGGTGAAAATAGTAAACCATACTATGTTAACACATAAGTGAGTAAACAACCATATCCTTCCGTTCTTGATATTAAACATACAAAGAGCCATATCCCACATATGTGTGTGTTTTGCTGTATAAAGAATTTGTATACAGTTATAACATTATGGCATGCACTTATAAATTTCAAATAGCTGGTGCCCTGTCCTTGTATACAATAGAACACGTGCCTCGTCTTTCTGATGTATGCTATAGTAACCATATCACAATGGCTTCTTATATGAACAAGCTAGATAGATCGCACAGAAAGTGTAACAGAAAATAACTACCATAGCTCGTCATAAATTGCAATAGACCAGTGAACAATGAAAGGTGCATGTTCATGTGAAAGAGAGAGCAAAACGTGACTAACTGAATATAGAACACAAATATGGTTGTGAAGTGTATTGTTTTAAGCCAGTTTTACTACAGAAAAGGGTACGGAAATAATCTTTTAATAAGAAAATAGAATGGGTTCTAACTCGCATGGACACTATGGGACAACTCAAGTTTCTCTAATTTATTCACTTTGTAAATTGAGCAAGATAGATTCATTAATGTTGCTAGATAAGACTAAATGTTCAGTGGCATAGAATTTTTCGATCCACACAAACCAGTGCCATGGATTCAAGCACCTCTGATAACAACAAATGGCTTCTTTCTAATTAACAAAAATAGCAATATGTGTAAGGATGAAGAATCCTTTCCCCCTTTTGTTCCCTCAACAGATAAATTGTTCTTAGCCAGAATGATTGGCCTAGTGCACCGGATTTGGGCAATACAAGGAACCATTTGCAGCAACCTATGGCCAGTTTCATGGAAAAATATGCAGCTATCAACCAAACGTACATTACTATCAGTCCAATAGCACCATAAAGGCATTAACACCCCCCACCTAGCTGGCTTGGCTAGTAATGCTCAATTATCTTTTCCACCATTGATCATATCTGCAAGCATCACTTACAGCAATTGTGGTGTACAAAAGAACTACCACACTAATATAAGCAAGATCATGTGCAAGTTTGGGACGATAAACAGAATATTGTGCAGTGGCAAATTGACTCGCCCGTCGATATCACTCAACTTGAGCATTGCAGATTGTTTAATATTATGCGCAAATTGCAGATGGGCTCTTATTCAAATTGTGCTATGATTCGAGGATATGTTGCCCACTTCAGTCAGAGCTTCTTAGTATGCCCACCCCTCCTAACAGGCCAATGCTTCTTCAACTGAGATGAATTTTGCTTGAGCATGGTCACATGGGTAAAGCTATTGCAGCTTATGGGAATTTGAACAAATGTAACCAACACTGCCAAGTTGGGAATCATATCAACAATTTTTAGTCAAAGACGCCTAGGTGGCAATTTGTCTTAAGATTATTGCAATCTGTGTCCATTTTTACAAGTCCATCCAACTGATTGGATATATGAGATTAACGAGCAATATGTGCAGAGCAAGAGCAGGGGCGGACCCAACAAAGGACATGGTTGTACACATGTACGCCAATAATTTTTTTTTTGTTGTTGCAAAAGAACGAAATTATGAGGCATAATGATACATGTATACACTTGCAATTAGATCAGATCCGATTATAAAAAAAAAGCCAGAATAGCTTAGGTTACTCTTCGGGTGCTCGGCTTCGCACAGAAGGAAGGGAATACAAGGGGCGGGCATACCTTGTTGGTGCTCGTTGCCGGAGAAGAGCCCGACGAAGACCTGGGAACCTCGCGTAGGGCGGCGGTGGTAACTGAGTCGTCGCCGAGGGAGAGAGCACGCGGGGAAACGGCGGGGAAGGTGGGGAGAAGGCACCCACACGGCACGGGCTACTGGAACATGGACCGTTCCTTTTTCTTCTGAACAATATATATTCTTTTGTAATTTCTTGTTGACTGTCCGCATACATTGCTACAGTCAATAGGATAGGACTGTCCATAATTTACAACTTTGTACTCCCATCCACAAAAGAATGCAATTCTGAAAAGATAAAAAAAATATAAATATTTATAATATAAAATAAATATTATTAGATTAGTTACAAAATGTATTTTCATAATAAATTAATTTAAAGCCATAAATATAAATATTATTAACTAGAAACTCAAATGTGAAGCGCTTAAACTGACACGTATACTATAGTTATATCCTTTTGAGGATAAAGGTAGTATTAAAAAATTATGTACACAATGATATATGAGGTGGTTCGTGCTCGCTTCACCGTTGCGACTTTAATCTGAAGCGAACACCTTAATTAACTTCTACGTAACCCTTAGGACCATTGGATC